TTTTTGCCAATTTCAGGCTCAATTATTCTTATTTTACACACTTTTCAAAGATAGAAAATTATTAGGGGTATGTGTTTCAACACAAATTTAGCCGAGTATTTTGTGTCATTCCCTGATAGAAGATACAGAAGTTTATCTAATTTTTTATATTATAAAAATAACAGTGATGTATACACTACTGTACAGTGGGATTATTTCTGCCACTGCTGTGGCCTTCATCAGTAAAATTGATGAAGTCTCACTGCAGTTAAATGACAAATTCCAAACAGTGTTAAAATAAATATTGTAATTTCTGTTTTGCTATATATCAAAAATATAGAAGGACATTTACTGTACCATCACAAATTATTCATCTTTATATAAAAAGCCACAGATTTATAGGGAAGAATTTTATGTAACATACTGTACCATTAAAATTTTATTGTGTTTTTATTGAAAAGATTATTGACCTATTCAGTAATATCATTGTTGCAGTGCAATTGGTTTGTTAGAGCAATATAATTCACATTATATAAAGATAACATCTGTAAAATGAAAGGAAGGGTACCATGACTTATAATATAACCTTCTACTTTTTAAATTAATTGTTTCTTGAATGATGAAGTACATTTATGTATACCATGTCCAATGTAGTCATCAGATTTTAATCTTTTTAACACTAATAATATTGTTAATCCTTTCAAAATCTCTTTAATTTTAACTTTGGTTTAAAATAATTAATGAAGTGAAACCTTGCGTGCCATGTTCATATTAAAAGTTTCCCTAGTGTGTTATGATACTGTAAGTAAAAACGAAGGGCAAACTGCTAAAATACTAACAACTTTTTATAAAATATTTTTAATTGTGTACCTTTCTATTGTATACCTTTTATGCTGTATGATAGACATTCTGATAACTGCAACTTGCAATTCAATATGGCAACTATTGATCTGTATTGCATGTGGCAGATACTGTACTTTCCATTGATCTACAGTATATGTGGCAAAGACAAGCCAAACCAGTCACTCGTCGCAAATCGTGTTTCAGAGAAAATGGCCAAAACATGCTGGAATGTCAAATTTTAAAAAATCTATTTTATTGCACTAAACTAACCTTTATATATCTACACATCATTCAATGCTGTTATTTTTCCCATTTTCAATGTTAAAACAATACTTTTTAAGGATTTAAAGTTAGTTTCTGCATGAGAAATGCCTGAAATCATAAACTTTGACGGTTAATTTCTCATACATTGTTCTTTAAACAGCTGTGTGGTTAAACGCTTGTAAGTTCATAAGGAAATGTCCGATTTGAATGATTTTTTTACCATTTTATAGCTATTATTTTACTCTCTAACACTTTATTAATAACTCAAAATCGATTCTTGCGACGAGTGACTGGTTTGGCTTGTCTTTGCCACATATTATGATTATTGTTTCATTGATCAATATAATAATATAATTAATATGTTAGACTTATAATAATCACTTCATGCCATCAAGGCCTCTAAAGAGCTTCACATTTATTTACCCTTGGTCATTGGTTGTTGAAACCTACCAGGTACCCTCTTTATTTATATAAATTTATTTTTCCTTTATCCTATTAGGCACTTTCTTCAGTACTATTGCACCCATTTTCAATGTGGTACAGATTAAACATATAATATATACAATAAATAGAGTTGACATAAAATGAACGTTACTCCGAATAAAGAGAGGGAGGCCATGATTCAACGTTTCGACCTTTATTGGGTCATCATCAGGAATGAGAAAACTTATAGACAGTGATTACAAAAAATGCTACAATATTTAAATGAGGGGATTAAAAGCTATGGTGATTAAGCATAATGGTGATTATGAGAGAGGCAAATAGAGATTACAAAAATTAAAAAGATATACTGTACAGTATATGTACACACATACTAGAAATTGCAAATTGCAAGTGAAGTGCTGCGAAGTACAACTGCATATTAATGTTATTCGAACAAAATTATTTATGCGAGT